CGATATTCTTTTATGTGTCTTTTGGTGTCCTTGATATATGCGTTTCTGTCATACATAAGGTCCTATTTATGTTATATGTAAACTTAGGAATGGAATTACTGAGTTTCAGGGTATTATTTAATAGTTGTTTTTCCTTGATTTATTTTAAAAACTGAAACCTACAGAAATAGCAAGAATTCGAACTCATATGATATGAGTATCATACACATCTGTCTAGATTCAGCGGTTGTTTATTTGGGGATGGTAGGGTTTGGATGAGGTGGTGTTTCCTGGCCAGAGTTCTCTGTTCCAAAGGTAACCTAATTTTACCTTTTCAATTAACACAAGTCATCTGTGGGGTGATACTTTGAAATTAAATATCCAGTGCCCCAGTATACTGTATACAGACATATGTGCATACATCCACATGTGTGTACACATGTATACGTACACGGGTATGTAAGTCATTCAGTGTATTTTTTTAAACATAATGTATTGTTAAGTTAGTTAACATACAGTGTATACAGTGTATGTTTCAAGTTGAGGTGAAATCATAACTTAAGAAGTAACCACTTTAAAATGAACAATTCATCAGGCGGGCGCTGGGGTGGTTCATTCTGAGCATCAGACTCTTGATTTCAGCTCGGGTCATAACTCCAAGATCATGGGATCGAGCCCTGCATTGGGCTCCACGCGGAGCATGGTGCCTGCTGGGGATTCTCTCTCTCTTGCTTATGCTCGCTCTCTTTAAGATAAAATTTTTAAAAATTAAAAATTAAATGAACAATTCAGTGTATTCATAATGTTGTACAGTCATCATCCTATTTCTACCAATGTTCAAATCACTTTTATCTGCTCCCCATTCTCTCTCCCCCCCAGCTCCTGGCAACCTCTAATCTCTGTTCTGTCTTTTTGGATTTACCTATTGTGAACATTCCATATTGATGGAATCATGCATACATGACCTTTTGTGTCTGGCTTCTGTCACTTAGCATTATGTTTTCAGGATTCATACATGTTGTAGAAAAAGTTTATTCTCTTTTATGGCCAAATAATATTCCATTGTGTAGATATAATTTGTGTATGCATTCATCCTTTAGTGGACATTTGGTCTGTTTCTTCTTCCTTCTGACTATTGTGAATGACCCAATATTTTTCTACTCTGTGGTTTTAGCATCCATGGCTCATTTAGGCAAGAATCATTATTACCATGATGATTATAAAATGAAGATTTTGCAATTGTATCTTTGTCTTTCCTACCACATTGATCAGTTGGAATTCTCCTGTGAACAAGACTGTTAAGATCGTGTGTATGTGTGTAGTAATATCAGAATGGACTTGGGGATTCTTTTTTATTCAGTGTATAATCCATTCCTTTTTTTGTTTTAAAGTATTTATTTTAAGAGAGAGAGAGAGCAGAGGAGGGACAGAGAGAGAGGGAGAGACTCTCAAGCAGGCTCTACCCTGTCACACAGACCCCTACGTGGGGCTCCATCTCACGAAGTGTGAGATCACGACCTAAGCTAAGATCAAGAGTCTGATGCTTAACTGACTGAGCCACCCAGGTGCCCCATAATCCATTCTTATTCGTTATTATACTCAAATTGTACCGGAATTGCCTAGTGGGAATTCCGCAAGCTGGCTCCCATTCTTTCTCACGTGACCCCCTTGGTGTTAAGAGTCAGTGGCTTATAAAAGGTGCCCATTTATGTTCAAGCACCCAGTTCAAGAATTGTTCATGGCCAGGGTATGTGCCAAGTCATTGGTGTTTACAGATAATAGATTTGTGACATACATCAGTGGTGAACATGTGAGGGGACCACCAGTTAAATAAAACCTGATTTGTTGCCTTGAAATGAGGATTGAGCGTGGTGGTGGTGGGAGGGGGGTGCGGATTACCTGGGAGGCTCAGTTGGTGCTGACAGCACAGAGCCTGCCTGGGATTCATTCTCTCTCTCTCTCTCTCTCTCTCTCTCTCTCTCTGCCCCTCCCCCACTCACGCACATGCTTTCTCTCTCAAAATGAATAAAACTTAAAAAAAATTAATGTTGAGCATAAACTTTATTTAAATGAAAAGGATTAAGCCGAATATTGAAACATGTATGTATTTATATTTTAGGCTTTTTTTTCCCTGACCTGATGGTATCAGGACATGGTCAATTTCTTTGTGTTTAAATGTTTATTTATTTGTGGGTGTTTTTGTTTTGTTTTGTTTTTTTGAGAGAGAGAGAGAGATCACAAGCAGGGGAGGGGCAGAAAGAGAGGGGGAGAGAGAGAGAGACAGAATCTGAAGCAGGCTCCATGTTCTGAGCTGTCAGCACAGAGCCCAAACAGGGCCCGAACCCACAAACCATGAGATTATGACCTGAGACAAGTCAGAGGCTTAACTGACTGAGTCACCCAGGCACCCGTACCATGTTTTTAGTTGCAGCTGATCTATTTCTTTGTAATTGCTTGTTTCTTTTTGTGCAGCTAAGATCTTTTTTCTTTATGCAGGTTGTTCTTTCATGAAATTCTGCAAAACAACAGGTGATATATTTTTACATTTAAAAATCAGGGCTTAATTTTTATCTGTTTTAAAACGGTTTTGTGTACTTTAAGGGAAAATTAGTGTTATAGTTATATAATCAGATAAACTTAATATTTTCAGGGTAATGCTACTGTTGAATTTTCTTGTTATATAAATAGAATTGGATTTGCTGTTTCAAGTTCATAGAACAATTATTAAAAATCACAATAATGCCTTTAAAATATCCTGAGTGATAAAGGATACCTCTTAATCTTTCCTATTCTGTAATTATATCTGTAATTGTAGTGAGTAGCAAATAGATTCTAGGTTGTAGTTCTAACTAAGAATCTCCAGGGATCTGTTGCTTTATAGTTACTTGAAAGTATCCTTTGTTTACATCAAATATAACTGTGTATGTAATTTAAAAATGTCCTCTGTATTCCTGGAAACAGTTATAGTGAATTAATCTCTTTGATTTATCACTGGAAGAATAAACAGGGGCTATAACTACGATCTGTGTTATTATGGCATTTTAGAAAAGTGTGTCACGTAAACCTCAGCATCCTGTGGCATTGCTTTAGAGTGGTGGCTCTCAGGCCGCAGGAGGGTGCTGCCTGTGATCTCGTGGCTGGAGGCCAGAGCGGCTGCTGACCATCCTGTGATGTGCAGGAAACACCCCACACCGTCCCACATTCGCGCAAAGTATTATCAGGCCCCGCGTGTCCCTGCTGGTGCTTTTGGGATGTCTGGCATTGGGACCAAACCTTACAGAGTTCTCAGAGGTAGCTTTTGTGTATTAACAAGCAGACAAACAAATAAGTACTAACCATTGAGAGTAATTGATTCGTGAAGAAGAAATACGGTTTTAATGATCAGATTTGGATTTAGGTCCAGAGCTAAAACTACCTGCAGTTGAAAGGTGATGGATCAGCAGTGACATGCTGAGTGGTGTGGCGCTGTGGTTCTAGAATGAGAGCACCAGAATGACCCTGGGGCTTGCGGGGCTTGCTCCATCCCACGCTGCTGGCCAGGATCTGGGTCTTTCCCCAGTTCCCTGCTGGGTGGGCGTCCCGAGAACCTGATGTGTAGAAACGAGAACCTGATGTATAGAAATGTCTGTTATCTGGCCACAGTGTGTGTACAGTTGTAACTTATCTGATTTGTCTTCTGACCTCGGGCTTCAGCCACTAGGCTCTTTAAGGAGTTATGTCAGTGCACTCTCCCTGCCCAGCTCACCTGCACCAGCTCCGCCTCTCCTGGAGGCTGGACGAGGTTATTAATGTCCCCCATGTCCCCAGTGCAGCTCCTCAGAAGACGATTTCCATTTAAGTAAAAACCATGATTCGTCTTTTATGTAAATGTGGTTTTGAGCCTAGTCCCCAGACCTGACCCTCCCTCCACACCCTCTGTTCTACGTGAAGGCACAGCCTGTCACCACTGGGCTTGGCACTTGGCCTTGATCTTGTGTGTGCAGAGTGAGCAAAGCTTAGGAGGGGCTGCCTCCAGGGTGAGGGGGCTGATGGGCTTAGGCACGTCCTGGTCCACGTTCTCCCTGTGTACTGCACCCTGCATGGTCACAAGCATATACAGTAACTTTCTGCGGATGTCAGAAGAGCCTAAAGCCTTCCCCCAGGGTGGGGTGAGGGTGGGGGGGTGTTGTGAGGACTCAATGAGGTAAATCCTCTGAAACCCCCTGGCACCAGTGTCTAGACTGCGTGCTGCAGGTAGTATGCCTGGCTTGTGTGGGCACCTGTTACTGTTGTAACCTTCCCTGCCCCGTACCCTGTTCATTTTCCACTTTCCTTCATCTCCCTGCTTCCTGCCCACCCGTCAGAACAGAGGAGAATTCTATTCTGTGGTGTCATCTCAGAGGTTGGAAATTGAGTTTGATAATTGGCAGGGAGTTTATAGTTACTACGGTGTAGTTGCCATATTGTGTGAGAAAGCAGTGGCATTCTTGGGTGGTTTGGGTGTATAAGAATCATCACAGCTCGAAATGGCTGAGATTAGAGTTTTGGGTTTCTGTGGTCTAGTTCTTGGCAACAGACTGTTTCTTTTTCTTTATCGCTTTGACTCACGTCCCTGTGTGTTGGTTGGTTGATTGCTTCTAACTTTGCTGTGGCCTTGTGACCTGGAATATCAAACAGGCAGTGACACCCATGGTAAGGGTGGTTAGGCTGGGAGCCCCCGGGCTGGGGTGGGCACAGGAGCTGAGAGGGTGGGGGCTCCCTGCCGGGACTCGGGAGGAGAACACGAAGACTTTGATGGCTCCTCAAGCTCTATGTGGCAAACATCTGAGAAGCTTAGGGGTTTTGGTCATTCGAACGTTCTTACACGGAGCTAGTGTTGAGCTAAAGTACCTTTTGGGGCAGTTGAAAGGATTAACAAAGGATCTTAGTCCAGTGAGACTGTGAATTCCTTTCCCCACATTAGTCACTTTGCTGAACCACTTTCTTGCTAAGGAAGCCTGTCGTGCCATGTGCTGCTTTTAATTGTCTTCTCTCCATTTCAGGCGAAGTCGTGTGTTTGTCACGTCTGTGGCGTCCACCTGAACAGGCTCCACTCCTGCCTGCACTGTGTCTTCTTTGGTTGTTTCACAAAGAAACATATTCACGAGCATGCGAAGTCCAAGCGGCACAACCTGGGTAAGGCGCCCTCTGACGAGTGTCCCTAGCACGGGGATGGCCACCCCCGGCCTGCTGTTCCCTGAGTCGTGGCTCCCGGCTCATCGGGGGTCCTGTCTGAAGTCCTTGTGCAACTCCGGGGGCGAGGAGACACGGAACTCAGTGGGGCTCTGCACTCGACTTGCCTCGAGGCTCTGAAGTGGGTGTTCAGGTCTTAGGTCACAAGAAATGATAGATTCCAAAGGCTCTTTGTTTCAGCGGTTTCTCTGAAAACTGCTTGTTCTTTGGTGGAGAATCAGAGTCCTTTTCCCTCTAAAACCATGGTTAAGTGTTAGATTAGGCAAAAATTCGCAAAGAAAGATCTTAGATGTGATGTAATTTTTTTAAGACTTCTTTTTTCTTTCTTTTTTAAGTTTATTTATTTTGATAGAGAGAGAGTGCACATGAGCTGGGGGGAGGGAGAGAGAGGGAGAGGATCTCAAGCAGGCTCCACACCGTCAGCACAGAGCCCAGTGTGGGGCTTGAACCCACCAACTGTGAGATCATGACCTGAGCTGAGATCAGGAGTTGGACTCTTAACCGACTGAGCCACCCAGGAGCCCAGCAGTGTTAGTTATTAATGCCTGCATGGAGTTGAGTGATTTTTATTGCTTCCTATGATGGATTTTCATGGTTCTCAATAATATAGAGTCATAAAAAGGCTAACAGCACTGGGGCATCAAGATAAATTGTTTCATATACTTGGCAGGTTCAAGCTGTCATACATTCTGGAAATTACATGAAGCAGAGTTTTGCTCTGGGCTTTATTTTCTGACCCTGTTAGTTAAGTGTCTCTCTACTTTAGTATAATGTTTTCTCCTGAGTGATGGTGAGGCTCTTAGGTTGTCCTTAGGAAAGTCACTTTCACAAGGTCCAGGCCAAAGGACTATTGCTTCATGGCAGCTCAGCAATTCCAGTTAAAGGTATTTTTTGGCCTTTTTAAGTAGTAGAAATGGAATGTACTGACTCAGTCCTCTCTACTGGACTCATTTGTAACTAATAACTTGGAGTGAGCATGAGTAAAAAGGCTGCTTGGAGCTAGGAGTTTAGGTTGTGACATTGAGCTCATTGGCCTTTTTGGAAGGAGAGCTAATCATGCCAAGATTGCTGGTCATGAGCTTTGCCCATGGAGGAGCAAGGTATTTCGTGGTCTCCTCTTGCGTTGAGTAACCAGAAGCAGAAGACCCTGGTCAGGACCGTGTGGACGGGAGAGAATTCTGCAGGATTCACTTCATGTAGACCTTTGCTTTCACCAGTATGAATGAGAAGTGCCTGCCCTATATGATTCTCAGACCAGACCCATTAAGCCGCTCTCCTGTTAGGCCTGGGCTCTGATTCTGTGTGCCTAAAGGGTTATGGAGAATTGGAACTATATGTGCCCTTAAAAAAAACTATCTAGGGGCGCCTGGGTGGCTTAGTCGGTTAAGCGTCCGACTTTCGCTTGGGTCATGATCTCGCAGTTCGTGGGTTCGAGCCCCGCATCGGGCTCTGTGCTGACTGCCGGCTCAGAGCCTGGAGCCTGTTTCAGTCTGTGACTCCCTCTCTCTCTGACCCTCCCCCGCTCACGCTGTCTCTCTCTCTCTCTCTCCTAGAAATAAATAAAACATTAAAAATATATATATATTAAAAAAAAAACTATCTAAAGAATTTCATTGTTAACCAGAATCATCTATAAAAATCACTTCAGAAATGTGTTCATTTTATCAACCGACTGATAACCTTGTTCTCTACTTCTGTGGAATGAGTAAGTTTTAGAAGGTTTGCTTTCAGAAACAAAACCTTGAAATGGAGAAAGATCCAGTTCTTTGCTGGATTCAGGTCCATGAATATACTGGAGGTTGCATGTGTCGGCATGTTTAACCAAGCGAGAATGAGTTTCTGTGTCCAGGTGGACAGGAGGGTGGCACGCACGGGAGACGGAGGCTGAAGTAGAAAAGCGCTGGAGCAGAAAAACGGGACGTGCAGCCCCGGTCCTGCCTGGGGGTGTGGTCTCCGTTTTCCCTCACTTACGGAGAGCCCCTGCTCGCCCTCCACCCCGTGCATCGCACTGCTGCTCCCGCCCGTTGTCTCCAGAGCACCTTCTAGGCTGCTGATCTTTTGGTTATCCTTTTATACAGAGTATTTTTCAGGATGTTCAAGGGCAGAGTAATTGAGCAGTGGTATGGGGAGCGAGGAACCTCGATTTCCGTATGGTCCAGGTCTTCTGCCTCCCAGGGGATATTTGGTAGTTACGGTGTTGGGACCTGGAGTGGATTATTAGGAGAATCTTCATCAGGCATCCAGTTTTTAGCTGGAGTAGCTTGGGAGGCCTAAACTGAGTCTTGTCTGAATATCGTGGATGATGTACTTAAAAATAGAGTATTAGTAGAATAAAGTCATTGCTGAAGGTCTCGTGGAAGGACAGGTGAGTATGGCATGCGACAAGGAGGGTCTGACAGCGGTTTGAGGTCCTGCCCTATAAAGTTGCCAAAATGCAATGTAATAAATACAACTTAAGGGAAAAGAACATACTTTCATTCGGGGTAGTCGCTCAGCTATGCTGGTGTACTTCCACCTGTACCAGTCAGTGTCCTAAATGGCACTGGAATTCCCGCTAAGCGTGGGGCCTGGTGCAGTAGAGTAAGGTGACAGACTTGGAGCTGTTTGAGTTCATACCTTCTAGTTTCATGCAGGTTTTTTTTTTTTTTTTTATGTTGAGTCACAAGGGGACTCCCGATTTCTCCGTATGAGCCACAAAGGTATAAAAGTAATGCCTTTAGCTTTGTTCTGTGTGTCTTCAAAGAGTTACTTTAGTTGCCCCCAAAGAGCATGTGTTGGTGGGTGCAGGGTGTCAGCTCACTTACAAATTGCCAGTGTTTTCCCTCCATTCCCAAGGGTACCCTGCTACCACAGGGAAAAGGATCTTGCATGGTGCATGCACGGTGCCTCTGGGCTGATGGCTTTGGGAATTCCCAGGGAAGCCAGTGTGCCCTCATCTGGACTATGAAATAATTTTCCAGGGGAGCTACCTTGACAAGAGGTGTTGCTTTGAGCTTTTAAATTTTATGTTGAGGTGAAACTCACATAATGTACAGTGAAACATTTGAACGCGCATCCAGTCCAGCTGCATTTAGTCACTCATCACATTGTGCAACCACCTTCTCACCCTCTCAGAAGAACACCCACGTCCAGAAACTAATTCTTTCCACCTCCCAACCCCTGGCACTCACTAATCTGCTTTTGGTCTCTGGATTTGCCTATTCTGAATATTTCATAAAAGGAATTTGTACAATATATGATGCTTTGTGCCTCTCAGCATGTTTTCAGGGCTCATCCATGGTGTAGCGTGTATCAATAATTCATTCATTTGCATGTCTGAGTAACACTCCATTGTGTGGATATTCCGCATTTTGTTCATCTTTTTGTCCATTAAATGGGTATTTGAGTTGATTTCACCTTTTGGCTCTTATGATAATGCTGTTATAAACACTCATGTGTAAGTTTCTACATGGACATAGGTTTGCATGTTTTTAGATGTATACCTAGAGTGAAACGGCAGTGTCCTCTGGTATTTCTGTGCTGGCTTTTCTGTGGAGCCACCAAACTTGCCCGCAGTGGCTGCGCCATTTTATGTTCCCGCCAGCAGTGCATGACGGTTCCCGTTTCTGCACATGCTCACTGATGCTTCTTTTCTTTCTTTTTTAATAACGGGCCACCATGATGGGTGTGAAGTGGTGTCTAATTGTGGCTTTGATTTGCATTTTCTTAATGACCAGTGATGGTAAATATTTTTTTCATGTGCTTCTTGATCCTTTGTTTATCTTCTTTGGAGCACTGTCTATTCAAGTCATTTGTTCATGTTTTTAATTGGGTTGAGCTGTTTGTCTCTTATTTTATTGAGATATATGTATTTTTTATTTTGGAAATATATATATACACACACATTGGAAATATATGTTCATATCTTCCGGATAGTGAACCCTTAGCAGATATGTGATTTGCAGACATTTTCTCCTATTCTGTGGGTTGTCTTCACTTTCTGAATAACGTCCTTTGGTGCAGAAAGTCTAGTTTTGATTAAATACAACTTACCTCTTTTTTTCTTTAGTTGCTTGTTTTTGTTGTCAAGTCTAAGAGTCCATTGCTAGATCTGAGGTCATAAAGACTTAGCCCCTGTGTTTTCTTCTGCTAGTTTTATACTTGTAGCATTTTACTGAGGTTGCTGATCATTTGCAGTTCTATTTTGTATATGATATAAGGGTTGAGCTTCATTCTTTTGTTTTTGGATTTCCCATTGTCCTACCACTGTTTGTTGAAGAGGTTGTTCTTCCCCCACTGAGTGCTCCTGGCACCCTGGTTGACCTCATTAGTTTTACACAGTGAGTGCTGAGTGTGGAAAGGTGCTTTGAGGAAGAGCTTGGCTAGGACAGACTGGAACACACACTGAAATATTTATTTATGTGCCTTCCCCAGGCTGGTAGTTGGGCTGTTGGCCACATGCTTGGCACTTTGTTTATTTTTGTTTACTTTGAGACAGAGCATGTAGAGGAGAGACAGGAGAGAGAGAATCCCAAGCAGGCTCTGTGCTGTCTATATGCACAGCCCGACATGGGGCTTGATCTCAACAGTGTGAGATCATGACCTGAGCTGAAGTCAAGAGCTGGGCACTTCAAAGCTGACTGAGCCTCCCAGGCGCCCCTGGCATAGTTTCTGTGCCTCTGCTTCCCTGAAAATTCCTGTCCTCCTCATCGTAGTATGTCTCTGGCTTTGGTAACCCCACACCAGGAACTTTCCCATTCAAGGCATATGAAATGCCAAGGAGGAACCGAGCTCTTGGTGAAGCTTTGAGGGGGACTTTCAAGGAACTTGCAAGAAATTTGTCAGTTTGTGGGGAGCCGCAAGGAGTAGACATGTGGTTCTTTGTTTTGTTTTGTTTTGTTTTATTTTATTTATTTCTAGGAGAGAGAGAGACAGCGTGAGCAGGGGAGGGTCAGAGAGAGAGGGAGTCACAGACTGAAACAGGCTCCAGGCTCTGAGCTGGCAGTCAGCACAGAGCCCGACGCGGGGCTTGAACCCACGAACCGTGAGATCATGACCTGAGCGAAAGTCGGACGCTTAACCGACTAAGCCACCCAGGCGCCCCAACACGTGGTTCTTAAACTGAGCCTTAGGACACCTGCTACACAGGACTTCAGAGATCCACCGCAGTGGTACTGATCTGTGTCGTGGCGACTTAGGGCGTGGGATATGATGAGTGCTGTGATTATGATTAGGTGTACTGTGACGTTATAAATTTATCACACAAACCTAGAAGGTGTTAAGTGCTGTTACTATCACCGTTACACCAAAGGGGAAACTGAGGCTCAGAGAAGTGGAGTAATTTATCAAAGGTCCATAAAGGTACATAGCAGAGCTGGGATTAATTCCCATTTTTTTGTAAATCTCTGCTCTTTCCTCCATGCTGCATTGCCTGTCAAACATCTTGGTGAATCTCAGCCGAAAAAAATTATTATTATTATTATTTTTTAATTTTTTAATGTTTTTATTTCTAGGAGAGAGAGAGAGAGAGAGACAGCATGAGCAGGGGAGGGTCAGAGAGAGAGGGAATCACAGACTCTGAAACAGGCTCCAGGCTCTGAGCTGGCAGTCAGCACAGAGCCCGACGTGGGGCTCGAACCCACGAACCGCGAGATCATGACCTGAGTGAAAGTCGGACGCTTAACCGACTAAGCCACCCAGGCCCCCCCGAAAAAATTATTTTTAATTGTTGAGTGGAGATAGTACCTTTATTCTAGGTGCTTAAAGGACTTTATCTTACTTTCTAATGTGGTAATTAAGAGCCTAAGATGAAGTGGTTGAGAAAATTCATGAGAGCAGCAGTGGGTCAGGAAGTCAAGAGTCTGGTTAGAGGGTATTTTATAGCTGCCTTTGAAGTAAGAGTAGGCCAGTAGCTGGTGCGCTCCTTTTTGTAATCCTGTCTGGAATTGTAGATGTAGTTTAACTGTTATGTGTGTCAGGTGGCCAAGAATCCTTTTGAGCTGATCCTACTCCATGAAAGTTTTCCCTTGTTTTATATCCCACTCTTTCAGGGCCCCTGAGTGGCTCAGTCTGTTGAGCATCTAACTTCGGCTCAGGTCATGATCTCATGGTTCGTAGGTTTGAGCCCCGCATCGGGCTCTGTGCTGACAGCTCAGAGCCTGGACCCTATTTCAGATTCGGTCTCCCTCTCTCTCTGCCCCTCCCCCACATGCGCTCTGTCTTACTCTCTCAAATAGAAACAAACATTAAAAAATAAAAGTCCTCTGTGTTTAAAAACAAAACCCCAGTCTTTCAGAGAAAAGACAGAAGGTCTTGACGCTTGAGAATTAGGTTCTTTGTGAGATGTGGATGCTCACCCCTCCCTTTCTTGGCTGCTTCAGCCCTTTACAGAAGCTTCTGGGGAAAATACACCTGCTTGGGATAGAGGCCTGAATGGGAGGGGTCAGTCCTTTTGCAACAGGTGGGTGCTATGATTCAGGAGCAGGGAAATGATATAAACAGTAAAATGTCTAAAGCTCTTAGAGGTTTCATTTGTGACCTCAAGCACGACCTTTACATTGGCAGTTAAATCTGATCTCTTCCCTCCTTTCTCTTTGCAGCCATAGATCTCATGTATGGCGGGATCTACTGCTTTTTGTGTCAGGACTACATATATGACAAAGACATGGAAATCATTGCCAAAGAGGAACAGCGCAAAGCTTGGAAACTGCAAGGTTTGGCTTGGCCTAGATTTATGTGCCTGATTGTCTCTTAGTCCTCCTGTCTCTGAAGGGCAGAACTTACTGGGAGAAAGTAAGTGTAGGGAGATAGGATAGCAGCTAGTTTTCTGCAGGTTGGGTTCTGGTTTGCTCACTCCCTCCCATAAGCGCCCACTGAGGAGGCGAGGGAGGCGCGCCAGGTGACTGGCCAGACAGGTACTCGGGGAGGGGAGCTGGACCTTCCTTTCAAGCTTCTCACTGAGGCTCGGTCTTTCTGGCAACCCGCCCCCTCCAGGAACCCACCAAGAGTCCCCTCATTAGAACAAAAGATGCTCCTAATGCTCTTATCACTTAGGAAATTACCAGGGTTTTTGGAGCCCTGTGCCAGCAACCAGGGGCAGAGACCAATGTGTGTTTTCTGCTCTCCTGGTAGCCGCGGCCCCAGCGTGGGGTCCTCTGGTGCTGTCATTGCCTGTCCTCATGCGTGCTGTCTTCAAGGGGGGCCTTGTCGGGGATGGGCACAAACATGCAGCCGTTTTCTTTATTGTTCATTGATTTCTTTTTGGCTTCCTTATTTTTCTTTTTTTAGGCAGATGCTCGTGGGTGTCAGTAGTAATAGGTGTAGTTTACCCCAGGAGGCTGGTGAGTGTGGTGGCTAGTGATGGTTCTTATGGCCGCTCACAAGGAGAACGTATCTGTTTTACGGGTTTGGGCCTTAATTGCTTGGCTTTTTTTTTTTTTTTTTTAAATTTATTATTTGGGAGAGCATGGGTGTGGGTGAGGGAGGAGCAGAGAGAGAGCGTACTAAGGAGGCTCCATAATGTCAGTGCAGAGCCTGACGTGGGACTCGGTCTCACAAACCCTGAGATCATGACCTGGAATGACATCAAGAGTCAGACGCTTGACCGACAGCCACCCAGGTGCCCCAGTTGCTCTGCTTTTAAAACAGCCCCATTTTTTGAGAGTGAAGCAATAGAACCAGGTGCTGTCATTGATTGGAATTGTTTCTGGAGAACAGTCCCTTACCAACTTCCTATTCTCCCTCAAAAATTTAGCACCATTGCAACTGAGTCTGAATATATTATTTCTTTGGCAAAAACATGTAACCCACAGGAGCTAAGAAATGCATGTCCCAGAATAAAATCGAACTCATCTAAATGAAATAATTCTGCAGCTCCATCTATCAATGAGATATTATGTCTTGTAAAGTTCATTGAATTTTGCAGAATTTTAGGTCGCAAGGAACCAAGGACCTTTGAGTGAACAGGTATTAGGATGAAATGTGACACTTACTGGCATCTACACTGTTGTCTTTGGTGTATGTCATTTGTACCCAAAGATACAACTGTTCGACAAGATATATCTTCAAACTGCAAGTGCATTTTCTCCATCAACTCACTCGTTCATGGGAGAGCCTTCATCTACATGCCAAGTGCAGCCTGTCCCCCCCCCACCCCCCCCGCAGGGGGGCTGATGCTACAGTCTCTCTATTCAAGGATTAAAGGCTTTGCAGAAAACATCCATCTTGGCATTAGTGTGACAGTAGCGTTAACTGGAGGTATTGCTTTTCTTCTCACAGGCAACTGCTTATTTACCACACATTTTCTAGAAGAAACTCCTCTTAAGTGTTCTTTTTAGCCCGTTGCAGTATAATATAGTTCTAGACAGACCTCGTGTTATGGATGCCCTGCTTTGAAATATATCCTGATTAAGTATTATATCACCATCACTTTTATTTATAAACACACTTGATGAAAATTAAGCTCATGGCACCTGGAACTGTCTTCCATCTGCTCAGGCGTTGGGGAGAAGTTCTCAACTTGGGAACCAACCAAACGGGAGCTCGAACTGCTGAAACACAACCCGAAGAGGCGAAAGATCACCTCTAACTGCACCATAGGTAGGTGCCTGCCTGCGCTGGGTGACAGTGCTGGAGTGGTCGGTCGTCTGTTCTCGCTGCCAGTGAGGCTTCCTTCCCTGGGTGTAACAATAGATGTAAAACGGTGGGCTTCCTGGTACAGCTCTCTTTAATCCTGTGTATAACTCATTCCATCAGTTGCCCCCCGCCCCCAACTCCTTCTGGAGAGTCTGTCCTCCGTGGGGAGCTGCAGTAGGCTTAGTGTGCCTAATGGTGATGGGTGGAAACAGTCCCTGCCCTGTGTGGCCATGATGGTCTGTCCTATGAAAAGACTCAAGTTTTTTCTGACCAGGTGGAGGCTGTGTATGTAACCTTCAGAGAGAAATGTATGTGTGTGAGACGGTTCTCTGGCCTAAGACTTCAAGAATACATTTTAGAAGCTTTTTAATAGGTTTTGTTTGTTAGACAGGCTCCTTTCTGACCTGTTCTGTTGTTCTAGAATATCTGTGGGTAGTTCTATCAGAATATAATGGCTGAAGTGACAGTGGGGTGATGGTGAACATTCCTCAGGATAGTTCCCATAAAAGTGGTATAAAAATTAGAAAATGCTGCATTTCTTTTTGCCTCTTGAATGAGTGGAAGAGAATGAGCGTGTACGTGCACAGGGAGGCACAGCAGAGCCATCGGGGTTCAGCAGGCCGTGGAGTTCAGTGCCCGTCACCCCCGCTGTCCTGTCTGCCTCCTGCCCAGGTCTGCGGGGGCTCATCAACCTTGGAAACACGTGCTTCATGAACTGCATCGTCCAGGCTCTCACCCACACGCCGCTTCTGCGGGACTTCTTCCTGTCCGACAGGCACAGGTGTGAGATGCAGAGCCCCAGCTCGTGTCTGGTCTGCGAGATGTCCTCACTCTTTCAGGAGGTGAGCGCGGTGGACTCTGGCAGTGTAACACCTCTGTCACCTTTGTGTTCTCTCCTTTAAAAAAAGAAGGTTGACATAATGAAGGAAGGCAGATTTCTGAAACCTTACACAGTGAGTATTTAATATACGCGTTTACTATGGAATGTTGTTTTCCCAAGGGAATTGTTAGGTCGGGCCTGGGGGCATCACTTAGAGGTACTCTGCTGACTTGGAGGATGAGAACAAGCCCTTCTTAAAGGGGCCTGGTCGGTGGAAGACACTCTACAAATACGGTGGCGAGTTCACCCTTCGCGTAGACGCACCCACCGCTCCCTCGTTTGTTCTCAAGGAGAGTGGACCCTCTCTTCCCTCGCCAGACCTGAGTGTGCTGCACCAGACGTCTCTGTCATCGGCTTCTGTTCTGTTTGGATCCTAGGTTGCTTCCAGCTCGTGCCTGTCCTTGTCTCCCTGACCATCACGTAGGGCGTGCCGGGGCCCGGGCCCGCGCTCCGGCATCCTTGGCCTGGATCCTCGGCACTTAGTGGCCAAAAAGCTCGTCTGGGCTGAAGTAGCTCAGCTGTGGCAGCCGGAGACCAGGGCTGGCACTGCCCCCTAGGTGACCGGGAGGACCCGAATGTACTTCAGGGTCCGCCAGAGGAGCCGGCTGATGAGCCTTGTCTGTTTTTGTCGGTTCCTTTGCTGCAGCATCTCACTCCTGCTCGGCAGCCACCTGCCTGCTTTGCATATTGGGCGCTCCTGGTTCATCATTTTGGCTGATTGGGAGAAAACACTATATACATTCAGAAAGTCCATTGAGTTCAGAGAAAAATGCAGTTTGCAGAATAAAGGGAGGGGAGGAGTAAACTGGAACCATTTTTCGTCAGAACAGCTGGAAGAAGTACTAGGCAGTTGTTAAATTTATTTTGTGCGCTTTGTGTTCAGAGTATATTTATTCCTGACTGATTTTTTTTTTTCCTTTTCCTTCTTTGTGTGTGTCTCTGAGCAGTTTTACTCTGGGCACCGGTCCCCCCACATCCCGTACAAGCTGCTGCACCTGGTGTGGACTCACGCCCGGCACCTGGCGGGGTACGAGCAGCAGGACGCCCATGAATTCCTCATCGCGGCGTTGGACGTCCTGCACCGGCACTGCAAAGGTGGGCGCCTGCGGGGCGGCGGGGGCCTGTCCCGGCTCACTGGTGACCTGACGGGCGTTCTGTCCCCAGTAAGAAACGCCATTAACACCTCAGAGAGGTTCCTCGTGGTTTGGTTTTAAGAGCAGAGGAAACGTTCTGGGTGTTGTCTTCTGACCTTGCTGGGGGCGGAACGGCGTGGCAGTCGGTCTGGTAACTATGGTCCAGACGCCATCGAAACTGGCTCCCTGCCCCTGTGTGTCTCCAGAAGGACTGGTCATTGCTCCAAAGTACCAGAGAGAGCCGAGAATACAGACTGGGCCCGCACACTCACCAGTGCTTCTCTGAGCCTGAGTCATGTTCATTTTTGGGTCCAGCCAAGGGCTTTTTAAAATCTCTCTCAGGATTGCCCTGGATCTTGGCTTCTGTCCCACAGCCCAGCCCCAGAGAGTGACAGCCTCCCCAGGGGTGTCAAGTGCATGTGGGTTTTGAGAATTTTTGGAAAGGGACAGTGGGCAGGAGATCAGGACCGAATAACAAGCCCTCATGATTCTTCGTCCTGCCCTCCTCGCTGTGTGCAGACACAGTTATCAGCTCGGGCGATTCTCAAACCTGAGTGTGGGTCAGGCTCCAGAGGGCTCGCTGGGTGCGGGAGTGAGGTCAGGAGTTTGCCTTTCCGGTGCATTCTCGCAGGTGCAGCTGAAGCGTGCCAGGGTAACCAAGTCACCAGGTTACCTGTGGCCTTCCGGCTGGTACGGTAGTGGTAAGGGGTTCCTGACCGGCTCCTCTCCTCTTACATCGATTCTGTTAAAGAGCAGCGTCTTCTTTTCCCAGGTCTGGTTGAACAGCCTTCTACAGCTCCTTCCCAGCCTCTCTCCTGTCACTGAGCTGCTCTCACAAACGCCCTGTTTGTCTCACATTACATCTTAGAGGCAAGCCAAACCAGAAATAAGGCGGCTTGTTACCATCAGCTGCCATGGCTTTGGGTTCTGGCTTTTTTGTGTGCTTCATTTGTTTTTTTCCTGAAAGACACACACACGATCCTCTCAGTGCTTGCCCGGGGAGCCTAATAAGCAGTGCTTCGTGGCTCAGGTAAGGTGTGGTTTCCCAGCACAGGGTATAACGTACAGACAGAAAAGAGCCACTGTGTAAGACTATTACATTATTATTGCAAGCATTTGAGGATAATTGAGGAACTTCTATAACCAGCATTAGTCTACCCTGAAAATCAACTGCTTGAAAATGCATTGGTGTTAAAACCGCGTTTGTGTGACGAAAAGACAGTGCAGTGATTGTGACGCCGTCCTCTGACATTGTTCCCTTTCACACGTCAAAAGAAATGTCCGGCTCTTCTCGTGGGAAGCATGGTCGTCAGAATTCTCCGTCAGCCTTGCTAGTTCATGGCCCTTGACTGTGTTCTTATATGTGGTTTTATGACCATCAGGTATCTGTTGGCTTATTTTCCTTTGTGTCTTCTTGCTGACAAAAGACCCAGTGGGCATGCTTTCTTCTTATGTAATAATTTAATTTTTTTGATGTGTAGTAGATAGAGATAGGCACACACAGCCTGCCCCATGGTCTAGTTGAATGAAAGTCCCACGGTATGTATTTACAGTATTTCCTAATGTGTGTCGTCCCCCACCATGTAAGCTGTGTACCCCTGTGTCTGCACACAAATCGAAGTAGAGCGGATAGGAGTGGTACTTATCTCAGTGCAACTGATTGGAAAGAAAGCAGAGCTGCTCTTGAGGTTCCGGAGAGCAGGAGCTGATGAGAAGAACAGAGACGGGCGGGAGTGCTGTGTGGGGCTCCCTGAAGTCAGGGCGCCGGGGGGGACTAGAGCAGGGACGGGGGGCTTCCCTGGGCTCGCTGCAGGCGCAGTCTGCTGGGCCATGCCACCGCACAACCATTCAGTTACTCCGTACGTGGGAAAGGGAACCCCTAACTCTCCCCAGCTGTTGGGCATTAGGTACATTTCGGTGCCAAGATAGAAGGCAAGCAGATCGTAGGGAGTGGAGAAAAAGAAGAAAAGTGAGAATAAGCCGGCCGGGTTGTTTCCACTCTTCCCTCCAAGTCTCCCTCTTGGAAGAAGTATCTTCCTGTGCTATATCAAAGGTGTCCGCACTTCTGGCTTCATGCCGCCTCAGCAGGCAGTGGCCTCGCCCCCTGGGTCTGTGGCCCGTGGCAGCGTGCGGACTTTGGGGGCACAGCTGCAAGTCACACAGCTGCGGTCTTTCCCCAGGTGATGACAACGGGAAGAAGGCCAACAACCCCAACCATTGCAACTGCATCATAGACCAGATCTTCACCGGCGGGCTGCAGTCCGACGTCACCTGCCAAGACTGCCAGTAAGTGCGAGGCTTCCCATGTGGCGCCGAGTGTCCTTCTGGAACGTGGGAAGCCATCGGGGCCTTGCCAGCTGTGGGGCCGCGCCTGGTCAGTGTGTTCTCGGCACGTGGACTGTGCTTGGACGCCTCAGTTAACCCAGGCCTGCAGCTTCCACTTCCCAGGCACACGTGCTACAGTTCGCAGATGCTGCTGATGCAGATCCATCGATCCAGAACCTTGGGATGTGGCCCCAGGAGTTTCTGGTTTTCACAAAAACCCCAAAATAATTGTGCTGATCTTCTGGGTTTGGAAACGGTTGCTTTAGAAGCAAGCTTTGCCTTAAGTGGTTTACATTTTGTTCTTCTGTAGGGCCACCTTGGGGGCCCAGGACGCTGTGGGTGGCAGCACTCGTGTGTCTTCTGACCTTTGATGCCCTTTGGATGAAAGGGCAGAGCTGTGAGAGGGCGTCAAGGTGCTGTCCACCAAGCGGTGCCTCTGACGCCACATGGCTGTCCCTCCTCACCTGTGCATTTATCACCTCTTGCTTCTAGTGGCGTCTCCACCACAATAGACCCCTTCTGGGACATCAGCTTAGACCTGCCCGGCTCGTCCACCCCATTCTGGCCCCTGAGCCCCGGCAGCGAGGGCAGTGTGGTGAATGGGGAAAGCCATGTAGCGGGAACCACTACACTCACGGACTGCTTGCGGAGGTAAGACGGCCGCTGCGCTGTTGTGGGAGGAGAATGGTCTTCCCTTGCAGGCACTTGCCCTCCTTGCCTTGAGCTCTCTGGGTAGTGGTTGGTCAGAGGAAGTCCTGATAAGTTTACGGCCACCCCAGGGCCCCGGTAGTATTTTCATTCACATGTCCTATGTGGAAAATGAGAATGTGACAGCCTGCAGGTGGCTCACGTGGACTGTCACATGTGTGCACGTTTGATTTCTGTTCACCAGCTTTGCTTGTAGCCTGTGTGCGGTGCAGCTGCTCCCCGCTCGCCCCTACACCTCCCGTGTCCCTTACTAGGGAGCCATAGAGCACAAGTTGAAGTTCCCGCACCTTCCAGGGCTGATGCCCTGCACCCGAGTCTGGCCCCTCGCTGTGGCACATGGCCCTTCCTGGAGGCTATTAGCCTATTTGTGGTGGTGTGTGTGCCCCTTACCACACCACCGATTTTGACAAGTGTCAAGGTTTAGGGTGCTGGTGTCCCATATGATATGGTGAAGAGACTAGAAACCCTTCCTATGTTTCATTGTAATTGAGTTTGGTGTTCGGCAACCTTTATCTTATGTACTTGAATTAAAGGTCACTGCAGATACGTCCATGAGCGGAGGTCTTCCTTCTGAAGAGGGACAGCTTCTTGGTGTGTATCTTGCTGCGGAGGTCAGGGGGCTCAAAGGCACAGGTGTAGAATTTTTAAATGCATCGGCTTTATCACACTGATAGGTCCAGATGTAAATGGGGCCTTAAACTTGTAATTTGGACACTCAAAACAACAAAAAAACTCACCATTTTTCAAGGAAGTCTTTATAGGTCCGTTGAACTTAGTTGTAAATGTCAGTAACACTGAAAATTTGCGCACAGAGCAGGCAAGGAGGCAGCACTTGCTGGGCTGAGAGGCACGGGAAGCTGTCCCCTTGGAAGCCAGAGTGCCATGGAGCTGGGTCAGGGCCCGAGGAGCTAAGTAGTTTGTATCCACAGCAGAGGGTCCCTTTTCAAGTCCCGCTGATGGGAGTAGATGGGAGTAGGTCACGAAGCAGCAGAAGGAAGTGGAGCTATTTGTCATTCCCGATATTTAACAGGTGTGGGCGTGGTGAGGTGACCGTCACCCCTCTGTAGCTGCCCCGAGGGAGTGCTCACTCTGTATGCCCTCAACCCTTTGTGGAGGAGGTAGACTCTCGGCGGGACCACAGAGGCTGTCCCAGGAACGGGGTAGTAGTCCTCAAGGCCCGCTGCTTTCCTAGGTTTCCACGCTCCCCCTTTCTGTGGGCTCCATCTCTCTGTATTGCTCTCAGTTCTCCTACATTTGTGTGCTGTGTCCGGAGGACATGGCCTCACACCATCTCAGGGCGTGGTGACGGGCATCTCGTAGACACACCAGGGAGTGTGTGCCTGCGGTTGCCAGGTCGCAGGGCTTGCGAGGTGGCGGACGGCATAAATGGACTCTAGTGAACTTAAGTGGGTAAAGGTACTGGGGAGCCCACAGACTCCTCAGGGTGGCTAAAGGGGAGCCCGCTCAGCAGACAGGCGGTCACCCATGAGAGGCTGGGCCACCATCATCTGGTAGCTTCCGCCTGCTGCTGGTCCCGCTGCCCTCAGGTGCAATTGAGATGCTGCTCCCTGAAGGTACTTACCGCATTTGCTGCTTTCCAATGATTTTTCCAGATGCAGAGGCCTCATTACGGGCGTCCAGCTGGTCAAACCTAGGTCATGCGCCTACCATGTAGGTGGGTGGGAAAAGCAGTTACCTGGCTCTTGTGGTAAACTTCCATGAACGGAGATGGCCCTGCCTTCCACCGGGGTTTGGAAATTCCCCGAACATGAGTGGAGGGCGGCCGGGATACATAATTGACAAGATCTGTGACCTGGGCTCTGTTGTCCTTCCGTTCGTCACTCACGGCTGTGAATTTGAAGCCCAGTATCCTTTGTGTCTGGCACTGTGGGACTTGTTCAGTACATTTCCTTGGTGTTGAAGCAGGTTTGGTTGACATATTTGGTATTAGAAAGTTCATGTTGTTTGGCGGAGATGACAAGGATTTAAGGGTAAGCGTATTTCAGCCTAGGGGCACTGCACGTGGAAGGAAAAATGACAACTGATCTGGAACTTGCAGACGAACTAAAAATGGGAAAAGCTCAAAAGATGACTTTTCAGTATTTTATACTGCATTGGTGCACTGTTTTTTTTCCCTAATTTTTTAAAATGTTTATTTTTTGAGAGAGAGGGAGACAGAGCACGAGTTGGGCAGGGTCAGAGAGAGAGGGAGACACAGAATCTGAATCAGGCTCCAGGCTCTGAGCTGTCAGCACAGAGCCCGACATAGGGCTCAAACCCACAAACTGTGAGATCATGACCTGAGCCGACATCAGACCCTTAACCGACAGCCCCCCAGACGCCCCCATTGGTGCACATTTTATAAGTGTCTCATCGTGAGAAGCAGTGTGCTTATTCGTCAGCTGCTTAATTGAGAATAGTTAGCAAAGTGAATATAATTGGCATAAAGCATGTGAATCAGAATTTGAGAAGAGGGGGAATGTTTACACCCCCAGTCTGATTGATAGGCCATAGAACGCTGCCTTTCAGGGAGTTGGAGCCTGTTAAAGAAGAGGGTGTCTGGCCTTCATTCCTTCGCTGGAGAGGATGGTGCAGGTTGGGGGCTCCATTAAGGAAGTGTTCTTTGCAGCCAGCCAGGCTTGGTAGGTTTGTTGCCCTGGGCGCTTGCTTTCTGAATGTTTGCAGACCATCAGAGTCCGAGGCCTGATTTTAGCTGTGGGTTGGCATTGGGCTTCCAGATCCAGAAGTCAGTGTTTTTTCCTCAGTGCGCAGGGCTCTCTGCCCGGTAGTGACACCCGGTCTGAGTACTCAAGCTGGAACCCGCCATTGCCAGTGCTGGCAGGACAAGTGTGTAGAGATGCTGGGGGAGCGGGGGTGGCCCCTGCTGTGTTCCTGAGCTGGCTGGCTGGGCCGGGGCCAAACTGTCTAGAGTTGGAAAATTGGATTATGGGGTAGTGTTGTGGCAATTCGGGTGTATCCAGAGTCTTCTCTCCTCCGGTCAGGCATCCAGTATTCAAACTACCCTGATTGTTATGAACAACTATATACCAGGATCCAGACTAGGTCCACACGTTACATTTGCTTGGTCGGTTTCACAGATCCCTTCCCAGTCCGTAGGCTTCTGCCCACGCTTTGGTTTCCATGTCCATTTCTGTGCTGAAAAGCTCGTTTTCCACAGGATTACACACACTCCGGATTTTGTTGAATGCACTTGTGGGCTAGTTCTTGCAGGTTGCAGTGAACACAGATGCCTTGCTTGGTCCTTCCCTTCCCCCAAGATCTACATGCTCTCCTCAGATTTCCACCTCCTGAGCACCTCGCGGGGCAGGCAGGGCCAGCTTTGGTCTCAACAGGACAGCATCTTGGCCCTAGTGAGATCACAGAATTTCCAAAGGATAAACAAAGATTTCCAGGCCCAATGTGAAAAGATGAATTTTACTTGTTTTTCAGCTTTAAACATAAAAAATGTGGCCTAAGTCATATTGAAACATTTGTTCTATGGGTTCTTCTCTTTAGTAGCCGCCACCTGTGACGGAAATCTTGCCAACTTTCTTAGTGCAACCTTTCTAGTCTATGTTGTGATCTGTCCCCACCACTAGAAAATGATCATTTTCCCATTTTTTAAATTTAACTTTTGAGATACAGATTCATGTGTGTTTATACGAAATAACTGGGTACCCTTTACCATTTTCCCCAGTGGTAACCTCTTGTAAAATTCAAATTCAAAGTTCAAGGTCACAACCAGGATACTGACATTGGTACCCAGCCCTGCATCTTGACTCCCAGCCATGCCTCCTGCCTTCCCACCAGTGCCGTCTCTTAACCCTTGCAGCGGGAATCTGTGCTCCATTTCTGTAAATTCAGTATTCCAAGAATGTTATATAAATGGAATTCTAGAACATGTAATTTAGGACCTCCTTTTACCCCTCCCCCCATCATAATTCTCTGGAGATTCATCCAGTTGTGTGTGTCCATAGTTTGTCCCTTTCTCTTCCTGACTAATAGTATTCCATGGTGTCGTGTGACCATTTGTACACTGGAGAATTCTGGGTTGCTTGCTTTCTTTGGTGTTTTTTTTTTTTTTTTTTTTTTAAAACATTTGTGTACAGTTTTGTATGAACATGATCTCATTTTTCTGCAATTTGAATTGCTGGGTCTTAGGGTTAGAAAATAACTAATCTTTTACCANGACCTCCTTTTACCCCTCCCCCCATCATAATTCTCTGGAGATTCATCCAGTTGTGTGTGTCCATAGTTTGTCCCTTTCTCTTCCTGACTAATAGTTTTCCCTTGTGTCGTGTGATCATTTGTACACTGGAGAATTCTGGGTTTTTTGCTTTTTTTAGTTTTTTTTTTTTTTTTTTTTTTTTTTGGGCTATTACAAATAAAACTACTCAAAACATTTGTGTACAGTTTTGTATGAACATGATCTCATTTTTCTGCAATTTGAATTGCTGGGTCTTAGGGTTAGAAAATAACTAATCTTTTACCAGACTTAAAAAAAAAATAAGATAGTTTTGAAAGTGATAAGAGGAAAAGATGAAGGAAGAAACCATTTGGTTTTTTTCATTGTGAAATTAGAAACATCCCTAACTATACACATTTTTAAGTAGGGAAAGTAGCCCATGGAAAGTGATAAAATAATTCTTTTCTGTCTTTTTCTTTATTTTACCTCTCCCATGTTTTTTTGCTAAAAACATAAATGTCTTGTAGATTTACCAGACCAGAGCACTTAGGAAGCAGTGCCAAGATCAAATGTAGTGGTTGCCATAGCTACCAGGAGTCCACTAAACAGCTCACCATGAAGAAACTACCTATCGTAGCCTGTTTTCATCTCAAAGTAAGTTGTCTCGAAGACCGACTCCAATGGGGGACTCCGTATTTACTGCCCAGCACAGCTGAGAGCCTGGGTTTGGTGGACAGAAGTACATTCTATGACTGCAGTGACTCGTAAAGAACTCTGGGGAAACAAGAGGGTAGTTACTTGTAACTCTTTCCCCGTCTTCTGTTGCCCAGAGAGGCTTGTGGTGAACAAAAGTAATTACTTCATAATGAAAACAGTATGTGAGTTGCTCTAGTGGGGCGGGGGGGGGGTCTAAAATTTTACTTCTCCTCCTATCCAGATTCTTCCCTCCTCAACACCAGAGTTTTTTGTTTTTTCTTTTACTTTTTAAAAGCAAACAAGACCTTTAGTGTTATGAGCAAATCCAGGGTGGGTCAGCTTTTTCTATGAAGGGTCAGAGAGTAAATAGGTTTCACGGCCACACAGAATCTTTGTTTTGTAAGCTTTGATTTACTTTATGACCCTTTCAATAAAAAACCCAAACCATTCCTAGCTTGCTGGCTGGATTTGGTGGCCCGAGTCTAGTCAAAGGAGCGTCTGTGCCTGGGGGAAGGAACAGTGTGTTCATTTTTGCTCCCAGACGTTATGGGTTTTCTGCGTTCTGCCGCCTGGCACTTTGCTGGGTTTGTTGTAAGATTACTTTTTGTATGCTCGGTGTTGATCACTTTGAATCTCATCCTTTTAAGGCTGTTGTTGTGAGGCGCCTGGGTGGCTCAGTCAGTTAAGCATCTGACTTCGGCTCAGGTCATGATCTCACGGTTCGTGGGTTCGAGCCCCGCGTCGGGCTCTGTGCTGACTGCCAGCTCAGAGCCTGGAGCCTGTTTCAAATTCTATGTCTCCCTCTCTCTCTGACCCTCCCCTGCTCACGCTCTCTCTCTCTCAAATAAATAAAACGTTAAAAAAAAAAGACTTTGTTTTTGAACCCTGTACATTAGATTTGTATGGTTAATAATCGTGTTATTGAATCTGTAAGCTCTAGACGTGCCAAAGGGCAATTGTGAAAGGAGCTGAAAAGCCCACTTTTGGGAGTGTACAGAGAAGTACCATCGGAGGAAACCCTTAGGCTCCATCCTCTTTCTCCCCTCCCCCATCTCTAGCGATTTGAACACTCGGCCAAACTGAGGAGGAAGATCACCACATACGTGTCCTTTCCCCTGGAACTGGACATGACCCCCTTCATGGCGTCCAGGTATAAAAGGGTTTGTTAAGCTGTAGCTGTGATGGGGAGGGTGTGGCTCCATGGGGTCCGTGATCGGCCCCGGTCCCCGATGAGCCGGTGTAGACCTTGCTATATCTGTTCATGCTAAAACTGAATTGTTATCCTGATCTTAACCCAAGACACCTTTTAGTTTCCTCAGATGTGCTGCTTCCGCTCTGGGTTTTCTCTGGTGATCCTTGATCAGCCTTCACACTTGGCAGATTGTTCAGGTGGGATCGCTGTGAGAAAGCAGCACAGTCGCTGACGGAACTGATTTTGGATACGGATAAATACAGTGGTCTCTGCAGTTGTAGATTCCGTTTGTCTTGTTTTCAAACCTTGGTATCCTAGGCCACATAAAATCTATCCTCCAGATAACGGCAACCCTCTTGCTAATTTGTTAGACGTGTGTTAGTTTCCTAGACCACTGTGACAAATGACCACAGACTTGGCTTGAGGCAGCAAGGTGTTGCCACAGCCGCCACATCCTTGGAAGGGCCTGGGCAAGACTCGGTTCCTTGCCGGGAGGTGTGGGCAGGTCTATCCAGGCTGGCCCTGCGCCTCGTGGCAGATGCTCTGGGCAGGTCTGTTTGCCAGCCTAAGCCTCCGTCTCCTCACCTCCATCCAGGGATGGCCTGCCCTGGAAAGGCGAGCTGCAGGAAGACCTAGAAAGCCCGTCTAACATGTACCTGGTGCCACGTGTGGTGTAGGAGACCCCCGTGGCAGTGGTGCCATCATTTGAGCCCTGCATCTGCTTGGTTAATTGCTTTATGTGATGCTGAGCCTTGCTCTTGTTTCTTGCAGCAAAGAGAGTAGGATGAACGGCCAGTACCAGCAGCCAACAGATAGTCTCAACAATGACAATAAGTAAGTGGCATCTTGTGGAGTTGCCCTGGGCATCTCCAAGGTGAGCAGGGCAGGGTGGGGGGTGGACTGCGGTAGGCCTTGCAGGGAGGGCCCCGTGATGGCAGGGCTCTCGTTTCTTGGCCCGTGGCCTGCTGCCTGTCTTGCTGCCCACTGGCCCCTATTGAAAACGTGTAAGCCCTATTAGGAAAGGACTCTTCACACCTGCACTGTAAGCCTCTCTGATGTAGGAGCCTGACCTGTCTCCCCGGGCCTCTGTGCCCGCATGAGTGTTGTCCTGGCCCCTGCATTTCTAGAGCGAAGGCCCGGTGTCTGGATTCTGGGCCTCTTGGCCTCTGCCTTCATTGGCATTTTTTTTTTTTTTAATGTTTGTATTATTTTTGAGAGAGAGCGCATATACGAACAGGGAAGGGAGGGAGAGAGAGGAGACACAGAATCTGAAGCAAGCCCCAGGCTCTGAGCTGTCAGTGCAGAGCCCGACACTGTGCTCAGACACACAGCACGAGATCATGAGCCAAAGTTAGACACTTAACTGATTAAGCCACCCAGGCGCCCCGGAGCTTCTGTTGTTTCCTCCACCACCCTTTTCAGTGGCGGTGTGGTAGAAAGCACCAAGCAGAGTGTGCTCCAGTGTCGCCAGGCCGGGTTGCTATCCCCCCTCCCATAAAGGTGGTTCCTGCAAAGCGGCCCGAGAGCGCAGTGGGGCTGGGCAGGCTCCTTCCCTCTGTGCCCCAGCCTTCATTCCTGGGGTGTTCCCATTTGGTGTCAGTGGGCTACTCACCATGCAGGCTTCCAGCCGCGTCAGACTTGAGTGGTCTCCAGCGGTGGTCCCGCTGAGCTGACTTCGCCCTCTCCCTGCACCCTCCTTCCCCCCGCCCTTGCTCCCAAACCAGGTACTCTCTGTTTGCGGTAGTTAACCACCAAGGGACCTTGGAGAGCGGCCACTACACCAGCTTCATCCGGCAGCACAAGGACCAGTGGTTCAAATGTGACGACGCCATCATCACCAAGGCCAGCATCGAGGACGTGCTGGACAGCGAGGGGTACGTGCGGGTAGCAGCTGAGTCCCAGGTGTACAGCCGTGCAGAGATTTCCACCTTTGTCGCTGAAGTATTGAGGCTTGTTCTGGACACAAAGCCAGCCTCGGACAGTTGCTGGCCAGGAGAGGATATACCTCTTGGTCATTCTTGATCGAACCTTAGTTCAGACCATGTGGTGGCGGTCATTTATTTTACCCACGGCGTGAGCTGACACATCAGTCCTTGGGGAGCCCCCGTCTTCTTGTCCCGCTGTACTCCTCCCGGGCCCATCATCATCCACCCTTCGCTTCGTTAAATCCTTCTTCTTCATCTCGAGAGTGTCGGTGGCATCATTGGCACCAGGGGTGGGCTGGGCTCAGGTGCCGTGAACTCTCTGAGGCATCTGCCCTTTGTGTTTACTTGCAGGGCGGCCCTTGGTAGAATCTGTAGAATCTGTGTTTGAGAGCACAGATTATGGGCATGAGGAGGCCACCCAAAGGGGTGGATTGGGACTAGGAGCCATGGCGGGATCTCACCCAGAGAAGCCGGGTTCAGGAGCCGTGCGGGAGGCAGGACTGAAGGGGCTCACGGCTTCCCGATGGGCATGTGGGAGGGTGGGCTCAGGGCTCGAGCATTAGGTGGGGGTGAGGACCCTCCCCCTTGGGGACTAAGAACCAAAACCCAACCAAGCAAGCAGTCAGACTGGTAGCGGGTGCCAGGACCGCCGTGCAAGATGGGGGCGGGGGGTGGGTTTGCTTTGCTTTGCCTTCTCATGAGTTAGATCGTAAGCCTGCTTCATGTCCTTGCTTCCTCAGGTACCTGCTGTTCTACCACAAACAGTTCCTAGAATACGAGTAGCCTTATCTGCAGCCGGACAGGAGACACGAAGGCGAGAGTTGGCCGAGCCTCACGGAATGATCCCCAACCTCCCCGACTTTGTGACGCCACCTCCCCCATGGAAGTGCCCCCGACAGCACCGGCTTCCCCCGCAGCCCAGGCCTGTTAGTGGCCTGGGTGGGTGCCCGGGGTCGCGGTGTTGGGGGGGTCACACTCGGGAGGAGGCCCGGGGACCTCGCCAAGGGAGAATTTAAAGGCCGCATGCTCCGCGTGGGCAGGGGCAGAGTGGACGCGTCGCCCGCGTGTCTCCTGTGCTCCTCAAGAAAGTGCGGGGGGCCAGGGTGGGGGGCTATTTTTAAATCGTGGGTCCATTGAAGCAGGAAAGTGGAGGAGCCAAAGACACTGCGTAAGGACAAAGGACTTCGCGAGTACTTTTCTCTCTGAGCTTAGGATTGAGTATATATAGGGGGCACTCTTAGCCGCCCTCTTGTCAGCAGACACAAAGAACCCCCCCAGAGCCTGTGGAACCGGAGACGCTAACTGGGGTTTCCAGGCACGTCTGTTCCGCAGATAACTTAGCATCAAACTGCATGTGGAAGAGTCAGCCCAGGTGTTCTCTCTTGGTTTTTTGTTCTTTCGTTTTTTTTAGAAATAGGCATTTTCTTATCCCCCCTCCCCTTTTCTCTCTTTTTCCACAGTGGTGACTTTCATAAACGTAATGGTAGTAACGTGAATGAATTACTGAATTTATACTGAAGTTTAGGTCGTTTTCCTTCATTCTTTCGAGAGTGAATCTTGCTTCTGAATTGGTGCCGATTTTGTTGCTTCCCCTCCGCCCTTCCCTCTGGAAGTGTCCGTATCTTGGTCTTAACCAGCGGATGCAGCAGAGGAGAATCAGGCTGTAGCTAATAAGTGTCTCTGTCAGATTAATCTTTTGAGTAAATGAAGTGTTCTCAGTGGTTTCATCGTTTCCCTTCCTCATACTTTCTATCCTGCTGCTGCTTGGCGGCTCCCGTGTGGGGCTCAAGCGGGAGCGACCCCAGTGGGGCCTGCCTTCCTGGCCCAGCGCCTCTGCTTTACATTTGGTGTAGTTTGAATTGTAGTAGGAAAACAGCTTCGTGACGGAGCTGGTGGGGAGAGGGAGGAGCCGCTTGAGGAGATGGAAACACTTCGCATTGTTCCTTGTAAGATACCTTGCATGCACCTGTCCAAACCCAAGTTTAGATTGTCTGTTTCTGAGAACTTACCAACCAAGAGGTGTGGGGCAGGGAACGGTGCTCTTGTATAGTCTGTGAAACAAGCAGTCCTTGTCCCGGAGCCCGGTCTGCATCGAAGTGTGGAATGTTCTTGCCTGGAGAGGAGGAGAGTCCTGTTTCAGACTCAGCACACTTTTTGTGTAAGGAGCCAGGAAGCACATACTGCAGGCTTTGTGGGCCGAGTGGCCTCTGCCTCAGATAATCCATAGACAGATGAGTGTGGCTGCATTCCAGTGAGACTTTTCACAGATGCCGAAATTTGACAGTTTTCACATGTCATGCGGGTTTTTTTCCACTATATAAAAACGTACAAACTTTCCTTAGTTGGGAGGCCACGTGGAGACGGTCCATGGACCACATCTAGCTAATTAGCTGGTCAGTTTAGGAGGTGGTAGCAACAGCAGGAGTTGAGTAGTTATTGCTCAGCGTGGAAGGAGCTAGAATACGTGAAACAGCAAGCATGTGCTGCAGCAGCGTCATTTATGGCAAAATCCTTAGGGATACAGTTTTTAAAAGCACCTGCTCAGTTCATTCTCATTTTAGGAATAAGTCTTCTAAGATAGCAGGCATCATCAGAAATACAGATGGGTGCAGATTTCTGGAAGTGGCCCCACGTGCTGAGTCGTGTGTGTGTGAGTGAGAGAGAGTGGGAGGGGTGCTGTGTTGTGAAGACTTCTGGCGAGAGCCGCTGCATGTTGATAAGGCAGGCGAGCCAGCCCACCCGGCCTGCAGACTGCTGAGCCATGTGCTTTGCCACCTTGCAGCCTAGCCCCCCTGGGCCGCCCTGGGTTTCCCGGCGGGTTCCCTGTGATCTGGCCAGCCCTGCTTCCCACATCTGTCTCTGCTCGTGTTCAGGAGCTCGGCTGCTCTAAGAACAGGACTGGGACGCCTGGGTGGCTCAGCCGGTTAAGCGTCCGACTTCGGCTCAGGTCATGATCACACGGTTCGTGGGTTCGAGCCCCGCGTCGGGCTCTGTGCTGACAGCTCAGAGCCTGGAGCCTGCTTCAGATTCTGTGTCTCCCTCTCTGACCCTCCCCTGCTCAAGCTGTCTCTGTCTCTGTCTCTCTCTCTCTCAGAAATAAATAAAACATTAAAAAAAAAAAAAAAAAACAAGAGGACTGGGGACAGCAGTGAGGCCACATTTATCTTTTGTAGACCGTAAATGCGTGGACGCAGAAGAACTCTCTTTCCTCCCTTTGGCCCTGGCGCGCTCTGCCTGTGCGGGGAAGCTCCCCTGTGACTGCAAGACCTGGCCGAGCTCTTGGCGCGGGGGTCGCCCTCTGCCCGTGCTGCCCGCGGGACGTCCTGCCGGCAATGTTTTCACGTGAATTTACCTTGTTAGGAACAAAATCCTTTGAGAGGGACCTGGGAATTTTTCTTTTACCTCCCAGTCCAGCTTTGAAATTCCAGAAAATGGCTTTCTTATCTCCTAGTGACCACCCCCGTATGCATTCATGTTCAGGTCGTTACCAAGTGCGTCTGACACCAAGGGATCATTGGGTGACCTCCCCCTCCTCCCCGCCCCGCACTCCCACCAATGGTTTTAAAACACCCTGTATTTCTGAGATGTTGGCAATCATTTACGTCCTTCACGGTGAGACGGGCTCACCGTCTTCAGAGTCTGCCCTGCGTGCTGAGCAGTGGCCGGACCGGGAGAGCGGGGCGGGCAGGCAGCGGCCGGGCCTCCTGTCCAGGGCAAGGATCGTCCGAGGCCTCCTTCCTGCGCCCCCACGACACGTCGCCCCGTGCTGTTGTAGTTTGGCTTGGTGTGTGTGCTCTCCCTGGGTAAAATTGCTGTTCTTTTGACAATTCAAGTGACTGTTTCATTAACTATAACCTTGAAAATGAAAATTGTAAGAAAAAGATTCCAGTGATTGTACTGTGGATTTTATTACCAAGATGTTTACACCTCCCTCTTACCTGTCATTTTAAGGAACTATCGACTCTTCTATCTGAATGGCTTGTAGTCTTTCCTATGTCATAATAAAGCTACATTTTCTTCCGAAAACCGGCCAGCTCTCCTCTTACTAATGATGGCAGCCGAAAAGCGGATGCGTGGCCACACTAGGTGGACGCCTGGGCACAGCCCTTCGCAACAGGAGCCCCACCGAGGTCTGCGGCCAGACCTCATTTGGGGCCAGTCTGATGACTGTTCTGGTTGTGGGGGAGTCCACACACCCTGCATTTCCTTGTATCCTGTGTCACGTGTGTTTCTTGTGTCCTCAAACGTGTGTGTTCTGGCTGCAGGGGCTGGGGGGAGTCCACACCCGATAATGGTCTCCGGTTAAATGCATACCAATCATCCTGGAAGGTAGAAGGCTTTCCTTTCGCCGTGGCAGAGGCTTCAGTAAGCCCAGCTTCTTCCAGGCGGTGCGTGATGTGGTAAGAACAGTTAGTTCCGTGGCGCCAGCCTGTTCATGAATGTGCTTTGCTGTGAATGGGGTTCTGTGATCAGAAGCAATTGGTGGAATGTTGTGATGGCGGATGGTGGTGCTGGCAGAGCAGGTGTGTCCGTCCTCAGAATACAAGTTTAGACACAAATACGAGTGAATTCAAATCTCTGCCTCCTCTGTGATACAGGAAGCCCCGTATAGTCAACCTGCTATAGCTGGTCCCTCTAGGAAATGCCATCCTGGGGATTGGGTGCTGGTCAGGCACTCGGCATGTTACCTCGGTGAGCCGTGGGCAGGACAAGTCTAAGATGTTGAGCCTACTGTAGTCACCACCCCTGTCTTGATGGCCACTTAGGTCATGGGTCCATCAAGCAAGCATGGTGACTGGGGCAGAATGCTGACTACATCTACAGGGCAGGACATTTTGTGCCCCTGGTCATTAAGAGCATCCCCTATAGGGATTCTCTGGCAGGCACACGTGGATACACATATATCTTAACAGCCTGTGCCCACTTTGAGAGGTCTGTCCCCAACCAGACCCTGTCAGTAATCTTTGAACCCTGTTCCAGATACTTGACCATCAGGCCAAGCTGTTAACAACTTACCACAAGTCATTGTAGATCACTACTTTTGGCCCCATCTCATTCCAGACAAGGTGGATGTACGAAAGTTCCACTTGGAGGACTTTCCTTCATCACAGGCCTTAAGTGTCCTCAGTCATCTGACCACAAAAAACACTTGATGCCATGCAGCAGGTGTCCGTTGAAAGTCTGAGTCACCTACTCATACGGTTTACCGTCTGGACATGCCCAAGCTCACTCTTTCATTTGCCATTTCTGCCAGATGGTGGATGGCTGCTGCACACACCCAGCCTTAAGGCCAAGGTCAGACAGCACTCCTCTCGTTAGGGAAGGCCCAGGCTGCATGGTCAACTCATGACTGCTGAGTGCAAGAAACAAGCAGAAGCTATTTCTAGAAAGCAGAATATGTATCTGCAGAAGAGAACATAGATTGGAGTTGCTCCCACGTCCTGGAGCTCTCACTGTTTCTCTCCTGTTGTCCTTCTGTGCTAGAGTGTCCGGAAAGCATCCCTATTTGCCACGGACACTTTAAATATCGTTGGATCTTCTGGATCACAGGATTTGTGTACAACATGTATGACAGCCTGAACCTAGGTCCTAGTTGACACTGGGAGCCGTATGGTGCCTCTGTAGATGGATCAAATTAACACAGATCTGGTGTATGCTGCCTCCCACACTCAACACCTGCCAGCCATTGTGCCTCTTTTTGCACAGGTGGTGCGAGTTGAGACAATGTGTCCTTCACCTTGAGGAAGCTATCTTGATAGGCTTCAGACTGCTGAACCCCCAGAAACTTCATTGAGTTGGGGACCCCTAAGGTTTGGGGAGTGTATTTCTCATGCTTTAGCTCCCTTGTCTTACTAAAGTTCTATAGAATTTACTATTTCCTGCTTATCACATCCGGTCAGCAAAATGTTATCAGTATAGTGGACCAAAGCAATGAATTATGGAACAAGTGGTCAGTGTGTATGTAGCCTTTTAGAACAGAAAGCTGAATTAACATGGTCCTTACAAACTGGTATGGGAGAAAAATGCGTTATTCAGGTCAGTGGATGCATACTTAGTGCTGGGTGCCATGTTGATTTGCTCCCGGAAAGATGCCAGTACCTCTGTGACAGTGGCTGCAATTTAACAGCACTGGGTTAGGTTTATAGTAGTGTGCCTTCATTCTCTCACATCTTCTGCATGGGCTGTGCAGGTGAGTTAAGTGGGAATGTGATAGGTATTATCACTGCTGCATCTTTTATTTCTTTGATGGGGTCGTTACTCTTTGAAATCCTCCCAGGATTACATACTGCTTCCTGATTTACGGTCCTAGTAGGGAGGGTGAAGTTTGAGGAAATTCCACCTAATCCTTCCAACCACGGTAGCCCTCATACAGCAGATAAAAAGTCAATATAGAGATCATGCTAATGGCCAAGTGTGCACACTATACACTTAGGAACTGGGGAGCTAATCACAGAATGGATCCAACATATTTCCATTAAAAAAATACATTGTACAATTTTTGGGCAGACTCCCTGAGAGCCAGTGCATGTTTCCCTGTGCCCTCTTTCCCCCTCTGCCACAATCAGCAGTGTTCAGGTAGGGAGTCTCCATCAACCAGAATATCCTGGATAATGGATGACATGGAGGAGAACCTGTAGGTGGCTGGACGGACATGTTATGTGAACAAGTTGTTGGAAAAAAAAAAAAGTATTGGACTCCATCAATAAGTGAATGATATGTAATAATGGGGATGGGCCAGATCTAGTCGTTTCATATTCACAGCATTTAACATAGTGCCTGGTCCACAATATTCATGGAATACATGACTCCTACTCAGCATGGGACTCTGGTCACAAAAAAAAAATCTCAAGTGGAATATGACGCTGAGCAAAAAGGGGCCAGGTCCTGTCGCCAGAGAACTTGTGGGAAGGGAAATAAGCAATGACACAGTATCTGTGAGATGTGTGGACAAGCTCAGGTAACTGAGCTCTGGAAATCTTACAGGGAGGGCATGTGGGAGCCTCGCTGAGGAAGCGACATTGCGCAGGCCAGGGTGGCAGTGGTGCGGGGGAGGGGCTCCGTTGATCAGAGGGCTGTTACTAGAGCCGCCAACATGCAGCCCTCCAGAGGGGGAACCGAGCACTTCGTTCTTGGGCACCACAGTGCCCACCACACTCGGTGCCATCTTTGACTCCTGGGACTCTCAGATTCATGCATTAGCACAGGCTCAGGGTCCCTTCCCGCAGCAGCCATCATGGCCAGTGTAATCCAGAGCAGACCTGAAGCATCAATCTGGACCAGTTTCACAGGGCAGGACAGTTTCCTCCCTGGAGTTGTCCAGGTCCCCAGCCCCCCAGCTATTGCCAGTGAGGGAGGCAGACTCCACCTTTCCCATGGGAAGAAATGTATCCTCCTGAAACCTTATGCACTTTATCTCCATGTGTGGGTTGTTTAAGTTTCAGACAAATACTCTTCATGCCACAAATCTTTTGTAAAAGTTTTTTGTGTTTATTTTTGAGAGAGAGACAGTGCAAGCAGGGGTGGGGCACACAGATTCCAAAGCAGGCTCCAGGCTCTGAGCTGTCAGCACAGAGCCAACATGGGGGGCTCGAACACACGAACTGTGAGATCATGACCTGAGCTAAAGTCAGATGCTTAACCAACTGAGCCACCCAGGCGCCTCTTCATGCCACAAATTTGTGAAGACTAACACGGACCCAGGAGAGGTCCCCGTGACCGCCCCCCCCACCCCCCCAATCCTGTCTCGGTCAGCAGATCAGCCTTCTGGAAAAAGCAGTTTTGTGTAGCCGGAAAGCCTCTTCTCAGGTGACAAGAGATGAGCATTCTCACTGGGGCCCCGCGCTGTCTGGCAGTGCTTCCTGGGCCCCCTGGCACCTCGTCCCTAAGACGGGAAGAGGTGGAGCTTAAAATGGATGGTTGGGAATATTCCCAACCCTGACATTTGATAGGTCTAAAGATTTTTTTCTCCCTGCTTCTCCTGGTGGTGAAGCCGATCAGTCATGACTGGATGTAAATGCCAGTAGCTAAGAGAAAAGGAGGAGATGTAAATAAGTTGCCTCTTTGTAGGATGTTCAAACTAGAAAAGGCTAGCAATGATGCTGTTGGGCTCCTGAATTCATTCATTTGGCAACTGTTTGACGCCCTCTTTGGCGAACGGCATGGACTGTTCTGGACACTAGGAAGTGAGAAACCATAGTCCTCTCATGGAGGGTCCAGTCTGGTGGGGGGCACATATGTGTCAGGCTGTGTAGGAGAGACAGGCAGTGGGCGTGCTGTTGACACAGGTCAAGACGGCTTCGGGGCAGAGACCTGAATGAAGTGAGACAGCGCAGGCCTCTCAGAGGTAGAACATTCCAGATAAAAGGAACGGCGTGTCCTCAAAGTTGGGAACACTGAGGTTCACAGGGACACAGCTTAGTGGGCTCCCTTTGGTCTCCTGTTGAATCCTGGTCACACAGGTTGTTTCCCTTCGATCCTAAAAGCCAAGTCTCAGAGGCTTGCCGGAGGCACGCCGGGCGACCCCTGCGTCTCTGACCGATATTGTGGCCTGGTTCTCACGAGGAGCTGGTGGAAAATTTCCACTTGGTCCCCAGCCAGGATTGTTCGTGCTTTCCACACCCACGGGTTCATGCGGTTTCTCAGCCCTGTCCGGGGCCTGCCGCTGCACGCTGCCTTGTCTGTGGTGCAGTCCAGTGATTGAGAGACAGAGCATGAGCCAGACCCCCTGAGCCTGAACCCTGGTCCCGGTACCTTTGCGTGAGCCACTTACACTATGAGCCTCACCTACAAACGGGGACACTGCAAGCATCTTCTCACACGATTGTTCTGTAGAAGACAATTGCACCATGTCTAGGAAAACTGCTTGGTATATAGTAAGAATTATATATTTTTCTAAAGCCCCAAGCCCGAGAGCAAAGCTCAGGGCTCTCTGGGATCTACGGTGCATCTTCTGACAACAGAAGAAAATGCCTAACAAGCCCGTATGCCCCTTTCCTCGGATATGTTTTGGGTTTTTCCTGTGATTTGTCTATAAATGAGAGCGTGTCAACAAAAATTAGGAAGGAGAAGCAAGGTATTTTGCGAGGCAGATGTGGGACCTGTCCTGTTGGAAAGAGACCGAATGTCAGGCGGTGGGTGATGTGGCCTGTTTTAGGATCAGACCACTTGGTTCTCCACCCACAACCACCTGGGAACCTACAAAGCCCCCCGATGCCTGTCCCCTAGCTCTTGATAATCTGACTTAATTGGTCTGAGGAGTGGCCCAGGCATCGGGATGTTTTATAGAATTCCCCCCCACCGCCACCTGCCCAGGGATTCTAATGTTCAGCCAAGGCTGAGAGGCAGGGGCCAGTAGCCCCAGTAAAATATCAGGAGCCAGAGAAACACAGCCGGAGGAACTCTCTCCCTCCCGTGTCTCCTTTGTTCCAGAATCATCTGGAGATTTCTCATATTTGGGAAATCGGGGAGAAAGGAAACTACAGAGGGAAAGGGCATTTGAGCTGAGGCTCGCACAATAGGAGCACCCCTCCAACCTGAGTGAAGATGCAGGGAAGGGCATTCCTGGGAAAGGGAACAGCAAAGCCCAGGGCCTGAGGGCAGGCCTGAGAAAGGGAAAACCTCTCTGAGGGCGAGGACGAGTGGGGCTCAAGGCTGCTGGGTGCCATGGAGTGTGGTGGGAGTGGAGTTTGAGAAGAGGCCATGGGCCAGAGCACATGGGGCTTGAAGGTCCTTGTAGGAGGCTGAGCTTTGATTTTGTGTTGAGAACCGACTGGAGGGGTTAAAGCCGTGAAAAGGCATAAGTGATGTTTTTAAAAGATCGTCCTGGATTCCGGGGGCACCTAGGGAGTGGAGAACCAGAGAGAGGACCACTCCTGCCTAAGTGATAATAAAGTGGGATAACTGCCCACTCCCCCCCGCCTCCAAGCGTGTCTTCTCCGAGCCCATCTGTGAGCTATGGCCACAGGGCACCCAAGTAGCCTGAAGCATAAGGCAGGCAGGTGCCTCAGAGGACAGCGGGGACATGACCAGCGGCCACAGGGAAGAAGGCAGAGTCACCGTGCGAGTGGGCAAGAGGAGTCCTTCCAGTGCGTTCGAGAACTGCCGAAGGCCGAGTATGGGTTAGCACGGGAGCATAGAACTTCTGGAAACTGCAAACAAGGGGAGTCAACACCCACTCGCACGTTCTTGTCCACAGACTTCCTCTGGACCTCATCAAACATTCCGGGCACAGAGCAGGATACCAGAGGAAGCCTCCCCCTGAGGTGCAGGCCTGCGGCCCCACCCAGACTCTTCTTCCCTAACGAGCCGAAGCTGGGCAAAGAGCGGCACACTCGGGATACAGGTGAAAACCCACCGCGGGCGGTAGGAAGGAGCTGGGGGCAGGAAGCTGTCCTGGGCCCCCTCTGTGAGGGGTTCCACTGCTCGGGGGTGGGAAGGATCTCCGGGGAAGGCTGATGCCCCCAGCCCAGGAACATGGCCCGCCTGACACCGATGGAACGTTGGCAAGCACCGAGAAAGCTAGTCTACCACGGGCGGAAGGCAGAGAATGGAGACAGACCCTCTTGAGGCGGAGAATGGTCTTCAGGCCATTCTTTAGCTTTCCCGTCTTTCTGGCTTTCCCTCTTGAATGAAAGCGTGAAACACAGTCCCAGCGAGTACCCGCTGCTTCCCACCCGGCACAGGTCCACGAGCTCGGTCGTGAGCCTGGTGGCACCGTCAGCCTGCAGGTCCTAAGAAACCAGGTGGCTGCGTTGTGGTTGAGCCTTAAGCCCCAGGGCGCAGTGGGAGGGGTGGGACAGCTGGAGGCATCACCAGGGAGACACAACGGAAACCAGTGACAGGGAGGAGTGGGCAGCCGGGGAAGGTTTTATTTCTAAAGAAGGGCTCTTGGGGGCTGTGTCCAGCAGGTGTATATGACTTCACTGCGGGTGTTTAGGTGATGGCGACCTACAGTGGAGACGGGTAAAGTCAATGAGGGCCCCTCCCTCACACCTCTCTCCCTCCAGCTCTTTTCTCCCCATGTGTCTCCCCCACTCCTTTTCTCCCCCCTCCACCTCTCTCCCCACCTCCACCTCTCTCCCCCTTTCCACCTCTCTCCCCCTCCTCCATCTCTCTCCCCCCACTTCTCTCTCTTTTCCCCCTTCCCCCACTTCTCTCCCTCCTCCTCTACCTCTCTCCCCTCACCTCTGTCTCCCCCTCTCCACCTCTCTCCCTGCCTCCACGTCTCTCCCTCATCCCCATCTGTCTCCCGATCTCACCCTTATGAGGCCGGGCCTCCCTCCTCAGCAGGAGCGCACAGGACCTCAAGGCCGCCTTCCGGGGCACGCGTGCAGGGCTGTCCGGTCGCGGCCCTGCCGAGGCGCCCCCACCTCCCAGAGCGGATGACGCTGGGGGTCCCGGGTGCGCCCGCCGTCTCCTGGGTGGGCTGCCTGCGCTCCGGGAAGCAGAAGCTGCACGTCTCCACTGGCTCCGGCAACACACCTGCCGCCCTTCCAGCTTCCATCCAGTGATCTGCGGGAGGTGAGAGGGCGATGGCGTTGGCCTTGGCCCTGACCCCTCCTCGACCACCCTGCACTGAGGGGACAGGGGGCCGGGTTGTCGGGTTCCCCAGCGGGTAAACTGGCCTGCCCGCCCCGCCGCACAGGCAGCCCCCTCTTCAGGCCCCCTTCTGCTTGGGGGGGCCTGCGTAGGAGCACAGGGGCACCGCCTCCGCCGGGCCTCAGCCCTGGCAGCTCTGTGGCCCTGCCAGCCCGATGGCCATCGCCCCACCCCCGCCCTTCCTCGCATGCGCCATCTCTTGTCTGCGTGTTGAACCTGATTGCACCTAGAAGGAAAAGAGGCTCTCCTTTTGGAAGCAGGGCCAGTGCGGGACAGAGGGGCCTCCCGCAGCTGGCCCCACATGCGGCCGGAGTGCCAGGGCCTGTTTCCCGCTCACCCTTGGAGGACTTGGCCTGCGTCCGACACGGGGCCGGGGAGGGCTGGCAGGAGAACTGGTCCCCTCTCCTCTTGAGGAAGCAGGCGACCGCCAGGAGGAAGCAGCAGATGATGGCGCAGAGGCAGAGCCCCAGTGTGCTGTAGACCAGGGCCAGCTGGTCGGAGCTCAGCTTCAGCCCTGGCGGGAGGGGGGGTTGCAACACAGCCGTGAGGCCCTGAGGTCAGGAGGGGCCCTTCACTGCCCAGGGCCCTTCCCTGAAGTGTCCCCTCCTCAGGCTAGCAGCCCCCTTGCCCTACCGTCTTTCTTTTCCGTCGTTAGACCCAAGCAAGCCACATGGTCACCCCCCCGCCACCTTAGAGGGTGAGCACCCCCCCCCGGCCCCCGGCGTGTCATGCATGGACCTGTCTGGCTCCTGGAGAGGCTGGTTCCCTTCCTCACCCGGAGGCGTGGCTCGTGTGGACCCTTGTCTGGACTTTGGAAGAAATCGCACCCCCCCCCCCAAGCCTGGTGGCAACTTCTTCCAAGACCTCACAGCTGGACACCTCTGGAGCTGGCCCTTTTTATGTTTGCTCGTGCTGTAGGACGTAGATTGGGACACCACTAGCAGTGAATGGAAAAATGAACAGACCATAGTCCCAGGGAGATGACCCAGGCCATCCTGGGGAAGGATATTTGACAGGGAGCTGGGCGCAGCTGTAACGAATCTGGGTTAGCAAACCAGGGGGTTCCTGGGGAGCTGGGGATCACTTTTCTTCTCAGGGCCTGGAGCCTCTGGTTTGGATGCCAGAGGAAGACTCAGCCCTAAGCCAAAGCTCTCCCCTTGAAATTTTCCTTGGCCTCTGGAATTGGGCTGCTCTGTAAGCCCCAGGTAAAAAAGGACAGATGAGCCAGATTTACACGTGTGTGTAATGTATGCATGGTGTGGGCCGCCCCCTGAGCCCTTTCTATATGCAGGCGCTTCGGGCAGCATCTCCTGTAATCCGAAGGAGGACTGATCACCCCGCCTTTCGATACTGAGATAGAACTCATACGTCATCAAATTCACCATTCTAAAGTGTGCAACTCAGTGGGTTTCAGTATATTCACAAAGTCGTGCAATCATCACCACCGTGTGCTCTGAAGACATTTCTGTCACCCACGTACTCACTAGCAGTCACCCCCCACCTCCCTCGCCCCAGCCTCGGGCACCACTAAGCTGCACTCGGACTCTGGCAGTGTCTAATCTGGACACTTCATATGAATGGAATTGCACAATATGTGGCCCGTTGTGTCTGCTTCTCTCACTGAGCATGTTTTCAAGGTTGATCCCATTGTCATGCGTGCTGGGACTTCCCTCCTTTTTGTGGCTGGATAACTCTATGGTCACCCCCCCCCCATTTTGTTTCTCCATCCATCTGCCAATGGTTTGGGTTGTTTCCACCTTTCGCTGTTGCGAATGATGCTGCTGCTAACATTTGTGCACAAGTGTGCACGCGGATGCGCATTTTCGGTTTTCTTGGGGGTTCAAACCGAGGAGCGGAATTTCTGGGTCAGAGGGTAACTCTTTGTTTAACTTTCTGAGGAGCTGCCAGATGTTTTCCACCATGACTGCACGGTTTTACACCCCACTTTGCAGGTGACAAAACTGAGATTCAAAGTCACACTCCCCAGTCGCAGCTGCCACTGGGAGCAGGTCTGATGGGCTCCAGGCCAGTGCTCCGGGCTGGCCACACAGGCAGCGGGGAGGGCACTGCCCTCTTCCTTACATATGCTCCTCAGTAACAGTGGCAGGTGCCCCCCCTGACATTTACAGAGGGAGAACAGGAGCTCTGGGTGGGTGGTGCTGTCCTCCCTGTCCCTTGCCTAGAGCTCAGAGAAGCCATGGAGGAGGGGGAAGCAGAGAACCCCCAGTGCGGCGCACCCTACGCTGGTGCTACAGATCTGGAGACTGAGGCCCTAAGAGGAAAGAGGAACCAAGGAAGCACAGGCCCGAGGGCAGAGCAGGCTGACCATCCGCACTTCTCACACACCCCACCCCCCCGCCCCCAGGTCTTTCTACCTGCCTACCTGCTCCTGCTCATCTCTGGAATAAGATGACCTCATACGACTGACTCAACAGGGTTGAGGCTGGCAGCCTTCACATCAGGGATGGATGCCCGGCTACCAGACTGCTAAGTCCAAATGCACCACCATGTAGGTTCAAGGAGAAAGTCCAAACATCTGCATATTTCAGACGTTCTCAGTGCAAATTCCAACACCCAGGCGTGGCAGCAACTGACCACAGATGGTCCCCAAAGAACCACCTCCCCATAGCCTGCCCTTCAAGTCAGTGCCCTGCTGGGCCTCACTGAAACCTCAGACGGCAGAGGCCATCTGTGCCAGCCCTGCTCTGCCCCTTCTGAGAGCCCGCAGCCCCCTGCTTCTGCTCTCTTGGGAGCCCTGAGCCATCCCTCGAGAAGGCCAGCTGGAGAAGCCACGTGGAGGGGCCCCTTGGAAAGGTCACGGGGAGTGGGGACCGCGAGAAGGAGCAAGGCCCAGCCATGCCAGCATCAGAGCCCAGCACCCACCTGTGGCTACACGGACACCCCAAGCAGACCCCAGACCTGCCCAGCTGAGCCCAGTAATCCAAGGAATCACACAAGATAATAAAGCGGTTCTCTGGAGGCTACAAAGTTTTCAGTGCCTTTTGGATGCTGCAGCAGACAACCAGTGACTGTGCTCCTAAGGGGCTGGTCCCAGCTGCTCCTCGCCCCTCCCTGTCCAGACCAGCGATCTGCCATTTCCTGCGGACAGTGGACCTAGTTTCTGCCTGGTGACCTGCCCCAAGTACTGGACCGGGTGCGTGGGTGGCTCAGTCGGTTAAGCATCTGACCTCAGCTCAGGTCATAATCTCGTGGTTCGTGGGTTCGAGCCCTGTATCAGGGTCTGTGCTGACAGCTAGCTCAGAGCCTGGAAACTTCTTCGGATTCTGTGTCTCCCTCTCTTTCTGCCCCTCCCCTTCTCGTGCTCTGTTTCTCTCAAAAGTAAATTAAAAAAAAAAACATAAAAAAAGTACAGGTGTCCCTTCCCATCTATCTCACAAGAGCATCTTGTAGGTGAGGGTTTGAGGGCCATTTGGAACCTTCTACCAACATGGAAAACACACTTTCCTGATTTCCGTGGATTTGCCAACTTCCCTTCCAGGGCCACATCCCACCCACATGGACACAGGCATTCACTGGAGCTTGTCCATGGCAGCAGAAGCCTGGGATGGCCAAGATGGACAGACCCCAAGATGTTTGCATGAAAAGCAGGAGGTGGGCACTTGGGATGCAGCAGTGATGAGAAGCACTAAGGACCTGTGGATGCCAGCAGTCATCAACTTCTCTGAGAGGGAAACAGGTGGCCGGAGATGGGATGGAAACTTCTCCCCACACCTTCTTCTTTTTCTCTTCAATGATTTGTGTATGTCATCTATTTGAAACAGAAAACAGCTCTGGTGGTCCGCTTTGTTCAAAGAACCCTGGAGTCGAACAGGTCCGACTGGGAGGGCGGGGAAGTCACAGAGTGCCAGCTGCTGGCGGGGCCGCTAACGGAAAAGCTGTCCACGCGGCTTTCCACACCACCTGAGTGGGCCCTGGCACTGGGTCTGGCAGCAGGGAGTGCCCAGACTCTCATGGGGGCAGACGCGGGGTGTGTGCACTTCTCTGCTCTCCTTTGTCCAATCGCCAAGATCATTTGGGTCCACAACCTCAGAAGTCGGCCCTCGGTGACCGTGACCGTGCCGGACAGAGAGGGCTTGCCCCGCGCTTCCTTGTCTGTCGATCCCAGGAGCAAAGGGGCACAGTCAAAAGTTTTTGCGAGAAAAAGGGAGGCATTCTCTGTCCTTGTCTGAAAATCCAGCTCTGGGGATACAGCCCGGGGAGATGCAGTTCTGAGAACAGCCACCAGGGGCACCACTCACAGCTTCTGGCTGCTTGGGAACTAGGCTGGCCCTAGCGCAGGGGCGTTTATTTTCAAGCTGCTGTTTGCTTTTGTTTTGTTTTGTTTTGTTTTACTGTCTTCAAAGCCATCTCTTATCTAAAAATAGATTTCCCCCAGACTGCTGCTGTCCCCAGCTCAGGCTCGGGCTGGCCAGTTGATCAACATTATAATTTTCTCTTAGAGACACAGTTAAGTGGTCTTAACATGATGGCTTGTCACCTAGAGGTGGAGCAAATGGGCCTTTGTGGCTCTGGAAGCTGGGCACCACTGCCTCAGCCGGAAAGTGTGACTTTAAGCCTGGGACCTGCAGCCATAGCTGCTGGAGGTGCATGTGGCTTTGGACACTTTACTCTGCTTCCTCGGGGCCTCAGTTTCCTCCTCTATAAAACGAGGAATGATATGCCTGTCAGCATTGTTTGGCATCCCTGACGTAACACAAGTAAACACACACGAGGCAGCTGCCCTGGAAGGACTGGTCCAGCGCGTCGCCAGGTGTCCCCACGCTGCCCCAGCTCAGCGAACAGGGCAGTCTGTCCGTAGGGGAGGAGTGGATTTGGGGTGGCAATGGTATGACGCCAGGCACACGGGGATCTCTGCTCCTCCCTCTCAGAAGACTCTGGTGCACGCCTTGTGGGCTGCGTCCATGGGGAAGACCGGCCCAGCACCCTGGACTCCCCGTTTTTCCCTCCTTCTCTCTGCACATGCCGGTGACACGTGGTCCAAAGTTTGCCTTGAGAAGGCGTTTCCTGCAGTGAGTGTGAGCCTCACTATTAGGTCAATGGGGGGCCTGCAAATGCCCACAGATGACCCCCCCTATTGTGTGTGTGTGTGTGTGTGTGTGCACGTGCACACGCGCGCGTGACATTTGGCTGACAGTTTGGGAGACAAGTTTGGAAAAGGATGGGGGGGCACTGTTTCCAGAATGCCACATCTTCCACTCCCCCCACCCCCCACCAGGGCCTGGGACCCCTGAGTCCCCATTCTTTCTGGGGCCACCCCCTCTGAGAGTGAACCCCCATCCTGCTGGCAGAAGGGCTCCTACTCGGCCACTCCCCCAGCCCTGGATCAGGCCCAACCCCCTTTCTGCTTGCTCAATCCGCTCCAACAAGGAAGGAAGCCTCCCTCCACCCAGGGTCTCACTCCAGCTACTGCCAATCATCCCGTCCCTTCTCTGCCCGATTTCACCAGCGTCCCCTCCGTGCCTTCACGTCTAGGTCACTTGTCCACGCTCTCTT